CAATTTCTTCTTAACACCTCCAGTGATGGAGCACCCACGACTTCTGAAGGCAAGCCATTCCCTTGATTAGTTGTTCTCACTGCTAGTTGTTCTCACTCTTTATTTCTTGGTTAGATCTCTCCTTCCTAAGTTTCCATCCATTGCTTCTCGTCTTGCCTTCAGGTGCTTTGGAGATAGGTTGACTCCTTCTTCTTTGTGGCAGCCCTTTTGACATTGGAATGATACATGCATTTGGTGTATGTGATACCACAGAAAACAAGTGATCAAACGATAAAAGACACTGATTACCTGTGAGTTTTGAACAACAGAATACATTGATTCTAGAAAAGGGGTCTCCAACCTTGGCAACTTTAAGCCTGGCGGACGTCAACTCCCAGAAAAGCTGGGAAGCTGGCTGGGGAATTCTGGGAGTTGAAGTCCTCCAGACTTAAAGTTGCCAAGGTTGGAGACCCCTATTCTAGATAACATTCCACAAGTGGCAAATGTATGGATTAACTTGCTCTTTCCAGCTGGGTTTGTATCTTTCTTAAAGCTTGCAAGTGTATTCAAGGACTTGAAAAGAGGATCACTATTGTTTAGTGCTGAAACGACAAGTTCCTACGGAAGGAATGGCCTTGGCTAAGAAGACTTTTTTTTTTAAAATGTGTTCCTGAAGTTTTGAAAAAGAAGCCTAGACTGCCATGTTCAGAAGGCTAATACTGTATCAGCTTTTAAAATGTTAACAATGAAGCCTAAAATTCCAGGTAACGATAGCCTATTCAGCAATAAAGAGCCCAGCTCAGTTTGTAGGCTTTTAAAATTGGAAGTGTGGTAGAATTTATTTATTTTTTTTAAAAAAGAATAATACAAAAAAGAGGGGAAGGGAGGAGGAAATCTGCAATTTAATCCAAATAATTTGCCCACCATGCTCTCAATAGAAAAAGAGACAAATTAAAAGAGAATGATTCTGATATATAGGTTACTTAGTTACTTACCATTCAAAGTTCCAATAAATCTACAATGTGTGTGTGTGTGTGTGTGTGTGTGTGTGTGTGTGTGTGTGTGTGTGTACTTACAATCAGTGGTGGGATCCTGCCGGTTTAACAACTGGTTTGGTGATCGCGCAATTTGCATGCACGCGTGCCACACGCACACATGCCTGATGTGTGCTGCACATGCGTGCACAGTTTTATGAAAACTTACCTTCCGCATTACTTCTGGGGAGTAACACAGCTGAGGCGCGGCAATCCGTTCTGCTACATGAATCAGCTGAGAAGATATAGGTCAGTAAAGCACAAGGGCGGGCGGGCAGGCCCAGCTTATCGTCGGAGTTACCGGTTCACCCAAACCGGTCCGAACCAGTAGAATTCCATCCCTGCTTACAACCCAGATTTGAAATTCCAACTGTTTCCCCTCCCTGTAGTCACATGACCGCACTTCAAGCGCTGAGCAACCAGGCCCCATTTGCAGTTTCCCACAGTCATGTGACTGGATTTTATGACAGTTTTGCCAAAGCCTAGCATTTACCTCTGTTTTTTTTGGCAAAAGCTTGCCCATAGCAAACCATTTGGTTTGCTTAATGGCTCTTTTAACAACCACAGTGATTCATTTTAACGACCCCTGCAAACAGGTCATAAAATCAAATTGATTCACCTGACTGACTTATTTTATGAGCGTGGCAAATGACAGCCGTGATGGACTGGCTCCATTATGGTCATAACTTTAAGGACTACCTGTAAGGAGCCTGAGTGGCGTAGGAGGCTAATGCCTCCTATTAAGGCAGCATTTAACATCCAGCTGCCTGCAATTACTGCGAGTTCAATTCTCACCAGGCTCAAGGTCGACTCAGCCTTCCATCCTTTCTAAGGTGGGTAATTTGAGGACCCAGTTTGTGGGGGCAATAAGCTGACTTTGTATAAATATGCAAAAGTATGAAGGCTATTGCTTAACGCATTGTAAGCCACCCTGAGTCTCCGGAGAAGGGCGGCATATAAATCAAATTAATTAAATTAATTAATTAAAAGAGAAATAAATCAATCTACCATCCTTGGACCAGGAAAATTGCAGCTAGGACACTCTTTGCTGCTTCCAAAAAATGTGATATCTGGGAACTTCCTCTGATCATTAAATGATCAGCTGTTTGTCATGTTATTTGATTATTTAACTATGAAACTAAAACTTTGGCAATACATGACTAATGCCGATAAACCCCTTCTTAGCTTAATTTCAGTATTTAAGATACTTATGCAAGGGCTCCCTATCCAAATCAATGTGTATAGAATTGGGTTATACTAGAGACCCTAATTCTACTCTTCCCTCAACTGCAGAAACTCCCTGGGTAACACTGAATTCTCTTTCTTACAACTCAACAGTCAGTGTGGTCTAATGATATAGATGCTACCTAAAAGTGGGGCAGACTCAGTTCTGGTCTCACTTTGGCCATGGAAGTTCCCTCCAGGAGGTTTTGGGTCTGTCCCTGTCTCTCAGTCCAAGAGTCAGGATAGTCTAATGATGAGATTCAGGCTTTCCCCCTCAGCCGTAGAAGATATTTTGGGCAAATTGCTCTCTCAGTATGAGAGAGGGGTTATGGTGGAGGAGTTGGACAGAGAGTGAAAAAAACCCAGGCTGTAGTCCCTCTTGAGCCACAGATGGTCACTTGATCTTTTTTGTCAACAACTGTCTCAGCCCAACTTACCTCACAATGTTATAGTTAGTAGGGAAACACAAAAGGAGAGAATACATTATACGTTGCTTTGAGCTCTTAAATCAAATTATATAAATCTAATAGAGGATTAGATACCGTGTTTCCCCAAAAATAAGACATCCCCCAAAATAAGCCCTCCCCTGAAAATAAGCCCTCTCCGAAAATATTTAAATGCATGTGCAGCCGATCCCCGCCATTTCCTATGGTTAGGGTTAAGGGGTCAGAACTGGAAATCAGGTAAGATGGCAAGAGGAGCCCTGTCTTGCTCCATGTGTCCCAAAATAATAAAACCTCCCCAAAAATAAGGCCAAGCATTTATTTCAGGGTTCAAAAAAATATAAGACAGAGTCTTATTTTGGGAAAACACGGTAGATTTAATAAAGGATGAGAGAGAGAGAGAGAGAGAGAGAGAGAGAGAGAAGAAGAAGGAGGAGGAGGAGGAGGAGGAGGAGGAGTAGAAGGAGAGGAGGATAGATAGATAGATAGATAGATAATGATGAAGAAGATAGAGATAGATAGATAGATAGATAGATAGATAGATAGATAGATAGATAGATATGGATTCATTAATTGATTTCCCTCTGTGGATCCCATTAGATTCTGCAACACAACCCTTGAAATGAGGAAGGAAAGAGCCATTCAAGGGATGGAGAGATCAGAGATCAATTAAGGATCTAAGAAGGCTTCTTGCTAGCCTTTAGGCCAGACTATGATCCATCCTGTCCAGTTTCCCCTGTGCATGATGTTCTACTTTTCCCTCACATCTTCTTCCTGAGTGGTGGAAGTACTAATTTACCTGTAGAGCCATTTGATAGTTGTGGACTTCAACTTACTTTGACAGCAATGGACTTTGACTTCCAGAATTCTCAACATCTGTACACTTCAACTTCTGTGGAATTCCAGAATTTTCCAGCCAGCATATTAGATGGAAGATTCTGGGAGTTGAAGTTTATACGTCTTCAAGTTGTGAAAGTTGAGATATGCTGTTGTAGAGATTCAGAGTCATGTAGCAGAAAGCAAGTTGCTATAAATGCTTGAGTTTTCATCTGTAAAGATGTCCTGCCCAAGAAAGATATAGAAAAGAACTGTTCTGAAAAATTAAGTAGGCCTCCTGAGTCAACCAGCCTTTTGCAGATAAGAGATTTGGCTAGGTGATATTTCATCATATCCTGGCTTCTTTGAGTCATGTCTTGAAGTTGTGGTTTTGAATCCACTGAGGGCCCATCTGAGAGTCTTTTGTAAATTAGAGTTGCATGTATCTCTGCAGCCTCAAAGGTCTTACAGGGCCCTATGTTGTTATTGAAGACTAGCTATGTTAGTCTGTAGAGATCCTCAGTCATCCAGGTCATGGTTGTCCCAAAGGTGCTTTTTCAGGAGGCAACTGGACTTCCTTGTTTTTTTGTTTGAAGACGTTTTGCTTCTCATCCAAGAAGCTTCTTCAGCTCTGACAGGAGAGTGGAGAATGGAATATAAATCCTTCAAAGAAGAAACAAGAAAGTCCAGTTGTCTATGTTAGTGTCTTTGGAATTTTGGAGGGGAGAAGGAGTTATATTGCAACAACGGTTAGTCTGGTCACTGTTATGTTATTTGCAGCCATGTTTATTTATTTGGTAATTATCTTGGGGTGCACTGTAATGGAATAGGTTGGTAACATTTTGGAAGCATAATGGCTCAGCGTTAAAAATGCCTACCTTGTCAGCTGGCCAGCCCAGGTTTAAGACCCAAGCACCACGTGACAGGGTAAGCTCCCATTCCTTGTTCCTTCTCTTGCCCACCTAGCAGCTCGAAACCATGCAAATGCGAGTAGGTAAATAGGTACCACTTCACTGGGAAGGTAACAGCGTTCCATATGCCTCAGCTTACAATCATGCTGGCCACATGACTATAGAAAGAAACATTCTCAGACAATGCTGGCTCCCTCACCTAAGAAATGGGGATGACCACCAACTTCTAGAGTTGGACATGATTGGACAGAGGAAACTTTTACCTTTACTTTGGAAAGAGAAATTGAGATTGCTTAGCATGTATAAGTATCATTTGAGGAATGGGAAGGGGCAAGCAAGACAGGGGCAGGCTCGCCAATAGGGCCAATGGAAACCAGCTATTATTGTTGCAAGGCTAAATCGTGTCCATCTGTTCATCCTGTACAATACTGTTATATTCAAGAAGTGCTTATGGTTGATTGCGCCTTATCCTTACGATATTGCTTCGATCTGTTTCTGGGATGCTAAAGATGTATTCCTGGATTTCAAATTGAAGTTATTATCACTCAGGACTAAAATCAAACCGAACAGAACAACTCATTGAACAGATGCGGTCCATTACAAAATTTCATTTTATTGCTTGGCCTGAATTTAAATACAGAGTGAAACCAAAGTATATTTTACTTTAGCAATACATGTTTTCACCCTCTGCTGAGCAGAGATTTGGAACAAAATAAATAGACAAATAAATAAATACATAAATAAATAAATAAGCCTAATAAAATAATAAAAATATATTTGTAATACTTATACTTAAAAAAAATATTTTTTTCATGGCAACTTGTACAGTACCATAAGGCATTTCTGCCGAAAACCTACATGGTGCCAATGAAATACCAAAAATGTCAGACTTTCTGACATCAGACTGAAGCAGTACAATCCAAGAGAGAATGTTAGAAGCTTTCCAAATAAATTTGGATAGGACTGTACTGTTAGCTGGGGGGGAAAAAACCAGGATTCATAGCCTAGTATTATCCTCTCCCCAAAATTCCAGATAACTCATGTAATATACATGATTAAATCAACACAGTCAAATGATATCAAATATACATAGTATATATATGTACATATAAGTAAATATTCAAATCGTAACCTAGACTGGGGAACAAAGGAACTGGAAATCCTGTTTGAAGATAGCCACACAAGCATTTTACAGTGCCCCAAATACAGGTTCATCGACATGAACCCACGTAACGGGGAAATCACAACTAAATTGTTACACATGTATGCATTCATTGTCTGCAAAAGTGTGGTGTCTTTTTGCAAGGATCTCCTACACTGGGGGGAAAAAAATGCTGAAGTTTCAAGATTATAGGAAAAGCTCAATAAATAAATATTAATAAATAAAAAAGTTTAGACAGTTTAAAAAAGACTCACACTAAGGATGCTAATACTGCCTGCCTACGTATAGGTTTTGTGGACCTCTCTGTAAGCCGGGAAAAAAACAAAACCACCCAATGAAGATATATGAAGTACATGAATGACAACATGACATTGTCATTAGGCATCATAAAGTCTTTTCTTACATAGCAATGACCCCAAAATAAATCTGCGTTGAATGAGTGAAGTCCAGATATTCAGGGTGATTTGTTTTGGCCCACAAGCGAGCACCTTTGTACAGCTGGAAGACGGCCCCTTGATAAATTGATTCAAACCACAGCTTTTTATTGCTGGAGACCTCTTCACAGACAGATTTGATGGATTTTAGCAGTTCTACCTCAGAGTTCAACTCTGAGGACCAGAAGGTGATGCTGTGGGTGAGCAGAAGAGTTTTGCTGCAGTCGTTCTTGTGGAACAAAACCTGAGAGTAAACGAAGTACAACCCGGTAGAAGGCACGATAAGGGAGTTTTCGGTCTTATTCAACTGCATGCCATTCTCCAGGATGGTAGGAATCACATCTGTAGTCCAATTCAATTGTGGTGAATTTTGGGAAGAAGCTGTGAAGTAAAAGGAAATCAGTGTTAGGAAGAAGGACCGGTCAACTTAAAGAAGAATGAATTTCGTGAACTGTACAAATGGTCCTCGACTTATAACAGGTTGTTTAGTGACCCTTCAAAGTTACAACGGCACTGAAAAAAGTTACTCGCGTTGCAGCGTCCCCATGGACCTGTGATCCAAATTCAGATGCTTGGCGTATTTAATGATGCTTGCAGTGTTCTGGGATCATGGGATTCCCTTTTATGACCTTCTGACAAGCAAAGTCAACGGAGAAGCCAGATTCGCTTTTCACCCATGTTACTAACTTAAGAACTGCAGTGATTGACTTAACAACTCTGACAAGACAGGTCATAAAATGGGGGCAAAACTCATTTAACGACTGACTCACTTATAGCAACAGAAATCTTGGTCTCAGTTGTGGTCCTAAGTTGAGAACTACCTGAACCTGTTTCTGAGGCACAATTTCCCTCAGGTGCCTTCCAGGTGTGCTCAACTTCAGCTTCCACAATCCTGTGGTTTCTAAGGTAGCCCATGAGGTTGTGGGAGCCGTAGAATGAGACATCTGGAGGATACCAAGTTGGGGAAAGCTGCTATGAGATGTAGTGGACCTGGGATGTCTTTAATGCCTTGGTGGGCTTAAGGGCCTACAAAACCAGGTTGACCCCACCAAACCTGATCACTATTCCTATAGGAGAAAGGCCGTATTGCACGACTTCAACAGGGGTTTGCAAGGTTTTCTGAAGTAAAAGCTTTCTGTGAAAAATGTCCTATGCTATGGAAGACCCAGTTGCCCACTGAAACTCATTGGATGACTTTCTACTGACCATTCTCTTTCATCTTAGGCACTTAACATAATAAATAAGAAGCCTAAGATGATTGGAGAGAATCGTAGCCAAATTAAGGCAAGTCCAGACCATCAGTGTACAAACTTTCCCCTTTCTTTCATCTTAAGGTGTGGGTTTCATCCTTACAGAATGATAGAAATCATAGAATAGCAGGGTTAGAAGGGACCTTGGAGGCCATCTAGTCCAACCCCCTACTCCAGCAGGAAACCTTATATTGTCTGGATTATTTTGGCACCTCTAACAGAGATGAAAATTGCCAGAAAGGAGAAGGAGTTTATTAGGACAAGGCTGCCGTGCAGACGAAGGCAGAGATAGTCCTTGATTTATGACCACAATTTTGGTTGCTAAGCAAAAGTTAAGTGAGTTTCACCACATTTTACTCAATCCATGACATCTGGCTCCAACAGTCACGTGCAACAGCTTCTTATTGAGCGCAGTCAATTGCAAGTGGGCCAGGAGCCCACGGTTACTGAAATGGCCCCATATTCTCAAAAGTCTGCCTCTTTGCAAAATGTCACAAATTTATTTATTATTTATTTATTAATTTTATTTCTATACCGCCCTTCTCCCGAAGGACTCAGGGCGGTGTACAGCCTGATTAAAAGCACAAAGACAAACAAAATTTAAAAATAATTTAAAATTATTAAATAATTGGCTCAATTATAAAACCCCCAAATTTAAAATCCCATTTTTAAAACCAATTAAAATCTTTACATTGATAGCCCGGCCTGGCGGAACAACAAGGTTTTGAGGGCACAGCGAAATACACGGAGATGCTTCTTCTTTCCAAGCATTTTATTTTCATCAAATCAGAAAGGCAGCACAAGAAGCCCATCTGAACCTGAGGCCCATCTGAAGCCTTTCTCCAGCCAACACCACCCCTTTCAAGCCATTTAAAGTATCTCCTCACCAACAGCGTGGGCAGCTGGTTTTCCAGACCTCAAGGCTTGCACTTTCATTGTGGCGGGCAAATGATCTATAAAAAATGAAAGAAAAAGACAGCGTCAAATAATGCATCAAAACCAATCACTTTCATCAGAGCGAGATGCTGTGTGTTCTATAGCTGGCTAGAGAATTGATATATTGATATATTCCAACTGTCCATGACAAGCAAATATTATTCCAATTAATTCAGTGGGGCATTCTTGGCTTCTGATCATCTTCCCTCAAGAACTGGGAAGATGCTAAATCCATATACTTAAGTATTAAGCATTGAGTTTTTAGCATGGATATATGTTGGTTGTGGACTATGTCTCAATTCTGGCCACTCCCAATCAGTATAGTAAATATCCAATCTGAGTAGAAATGAAGGAATATAAGATAGTAATAGATCTATGAAGCATCAGGTTGGAAAATTTATTCACAGTTTACTACTGCGTTGGCAAAACTTTCTTAAAGAAATAAGACAGCTTAGAAACACTTACCAGAAAATGAATTTCCCTGTAGTTTAGAGTCCTGGAAAAGAAATTGGGAAAAGAAATTAATAAGGATGATGCAGTAATGCCACTACTATTATTAATGCAATTATTGTATACGTTGTTTTTAAAAAATGGCAGTTCTAAATGTCGGTTAAATAAGCACGTCTGAAATGTAAGATTAACAGAAGAAAACCCTGCAAAGACATAGAAAACTAGAGATAGGCATTCATTATTAAATGGGCCCATGGGTACTGATCATCCACTCCCGAAGGACTGCTGAACGCTTATTGTACAGGTAAATTCTATATGCCTCCAACAAGTGGCTGATTGAGCAATAAATTTTTGCATAAAATAAGTATTTTGGGAGAGTAATATCTATCTATCGCCTATCTATCTATCTATCTATCTATCTATCTATCTATCTATCTATCTATATTCCTTTTATTGGAGATATTTTAAGCCAACAATGTTTACCATCAGCTTTCCATTACTTATTTTTTAAAACCTCAAATAAGTGTTAAGCTTATATGGGAGTGGGGGGAGAGTTAATTTAGTGCAAAATGTAGCATTAGCATAATCTTTCTCATAATTTTCATCCTCCTCCAAATAGAGCTGTTTGCTTTTTCCCTTACTTTATTCAGAAGATTTTTTTTAACTCAACATTTCTTCATTCTAAAGCGGAGAATCACTCACTTGCAAGTTCACCCCCGTCTCATTTCACGATAAGCACCCATCAAAACTTTTCTAATAGCCACTCACTCTTCAAACCATCTCGTTTTTTACTAACCTGCTTTTCAGACAACCCAAATGCGTCCAGTTGCAAGAGGGCAAAGACGGTTACGGCTCCGATCAGAAGCAAGAAGGAACAGATGCTGAGACACTTCCAGTGGTTGTTTTTCGGAGAGGGTTCCCGGAGGACAACGATGCTCCCTTTCTCCACATCGTGCACCAATTGCTCAGAACTCATGGTGGATGGTTGGGCTTTAGAAAAAGGCAGAGCAATTCTTTCGGTGGACGTGGTAAAAAGTTGATTCTCTTTCAAGCAAATAGAAGCTCCCTGGTTTTTTGTTTTTTTTTTCCCCTTTCTTTCTCAGGTTGATTTCACGGGTGCTACTGCTTAAATTTAGACTGCTTCAAAAATTCAGCCACCAGTCAAAGAAAGAAGCAGTGGTAGATGATTCTTGCAGATGAAAAAAGAGTTCTGTTTCGGTTGATTTGTAGCCTCCTTGGAATTCACTTGAGGGATTTTGTTGCTGCTTCTTGGCTTTTCCCCTCCACCTTATTTTTCTTTTAGCTCTTCTTTCCTTCTGCTCTTAACTCAGAGGAGGCTTCGCTGTTTGAACACTCTTGTGGCAGCTTCCCTTTTAAACCCTTCTGAAAGCGAAGTCCTGTACTATCCCCGCCCACATCTAGCAACTCATGAGCAAGAGGAAAAAAGCAGAAAGAGGAAACGGTTACAGAAAAAGCCTATGAAACGTCTTGGAATCTGACTGAGGTTGGTACTTTCAGATGGCAGGCTGACACCCCGCCCGTTTTTTGGCCGGGTTTCTTTGTAAAACTGGAAGAGCAGGTTATTTAATGAGTGCGATAAATAAATTCACTCTTCATTTTCCTGGCTCAGTTAACAGATGGCAGGGATACAATAAGAGAGGACTTTCAAAAGAGGTGCCTTCGATAAACCTCTTTCCTTTGCAGAGGTATTTCTGCGCAGGATATTTCTAGATAAACTGAGGAAGGTTAAGCGGAGAAAAAAACTATTATGTGGTGTTTGTAGTTATCAATATGCTGGCAGCACCTTCCTTAGTGCCTACGAACTTCTGGTTTCCCTGATTTTCTTTTCTTTTTCTACATTTTAAAAACAGGTGTCAGCAAGTCGTAAAGCACCATCTCCCAAATCTGTGGACGTTCTCAGTCATTCAGGTCATGGTTGTCCCAAAAGTGCATTTTTTTTTGCAAGAGGCGAACTGGACTTTCTGGTTTTCCTTTGAAGACTTTTCACTTCTCATCCAGGAAGCTTCTTGGATGAAAAGCGAAACATCTCCAAAGAAAAAACAGAAAGTCCAGTTGTTTCTTGAAAAAAATCACCTTTGGGACATTGTTTCCCATAATCACTTCTATGGCCTTTGAAGGGTTCCAATAAACTTTATTAGAAACTAAAAATGCTTCACAGATGCAGCTACGTTATTTGGACATCCCCCATCCCCAAAAAATACAAATGTAACCAGAGACAGTCGTGGCCATTTAAGAAGCAGCGGTCATGCAAGGGACCCGTCCAATTCGGATAAGTTGGTGCTTTGTACATCCTCTTCTAAGTTGGTGGAAACACCTAAAACTTATTTTCAAAATCCCAATTGTGTTTATTGCCCCCTCCTCCAACTATGAGAACCCCTGGAATAGATGCAGGGGGTGTCTGCAGAACGTGATCCAACAAATCGAGATGGCAACCATGATGATGTAATCAAAGATCTGCCTGTTTTTATATGTGCATCTCCCTTAAGAATGGGTGGAACGTTGATCATAACACTGGAAAGCACCTTGATTTTTCTTTTTGGACCATAGCTGTGCCTTGGGGGCATGTGCAAAAGCATTTCTACTGAAATTAGGTAAGCCTTCCTGAGTGATTTAGGAGCCTCCTAGATCCAAATATATAAATAAATAGCACTTTGTCATCCCTCACTTTCCCATTCTGAACATCCACACGAGATGAGTTGACTGTATAAATTTGAGCAATATATAAATATTCTGAGGTGCACCCGGTAGCTGGTTCCCTCTTAATAAGAACATTTACTAATTCAATTAATGTGTCTGTTATACAACACCCATGCCTGCACATTAGCTGTTAAGAAAGGCTATTGCTAGTAATCTTTCCCTTTGCACAAAACTCCCTTTTAATCTAACATTGTGGAATTTGACAAGGATATTTCCACCAAAAGGGGCGGAAATTACTGTACTTTTGCCATTGCTATACTTTTCAGCATAGCTCACCCTCTAATCATACGTTTATGGGCACTTAAAAATCAGAATCAGAATACAGCTGTAAGAGAGTCTTCCAGTCCAGCCCCCTACTCAATCAGGAGACCCTGTAACATTTCAGACAAGTGACTGTCCAGTCTCTTCTTAAAAACCTCCAATGATGGCCCATGATTTCTGAAGGCAAAGCTGTTCCACTAGTTAATTGTCCTCACTGTTACAAATTTTCCCCTTAATGCCAGTTTCCTTCTCTCCTTGATGAGTTTCCATCCATTGTTTCTTGTCCTGGTGGTTTGGAAAATAAATATTTATAATAAAGCGGGTGCTTTGGAAAATAAAATAAATAAATGATATTAGCAAAGCATGGTCCAAATAGCCGGAATGGATGTTTATAAAATTTGACAACTTTCAATTTCTCATTAGTTTTCTGGTGAATGATCAGTTTGATTAAGAACCAAAATTCTACAACTCTTTTGTTTGTTCTCCGTGTGAGAGAACCAATTCCCCCCACCTACCCCAAATTATTCCTCTGAAACAAGAGACTACTGTATGTTAGACTGGACTACATGTAATGGTATGTGGGAAAGATGTTGGGAGAGAGGGTGGAGAGATGCTGGTAAGGGAATGGTCAGATAAGAGGGGACATAGCCCACAGCTGAATAGTGGGTGGAACAAGAGGCTCAGAAATGACCTTCCCTAGTTTTTTCAGGCTGTAAAGAAAACAATGGGAGATTTGTCCTTTCAGACTTGCGAGATTGTCAATCTTGCAAAGTAGACGAGGCAGGAAATACGACCAGATGTGTTCATTCTACTTTAAGGCTGAATTAGTCGAATCTTCTTAGTGAGATTAGTATGCAATCTCATTTGCAAAGGCCAATGCTGCTTGGAGCTGCTGAGAATCTATCCGAAAGGTTTCAATCTGATTATCATCCTATGGTAATATTGCATCCCAGCTTCTTCTACTCATTAACCATTTATGTTTAGAATGTAACATCTACCATATGAACTGGCTGGGTCATATTTATAACCCATCTATCCAAGGATATCCATACTGACTGGGGAATTCTGGCAGTTGCAGTCCAGATAATCTTGAAATTGCCAAGTGTCAGAAACACTGGTTTGTAATGATTTGTTTCTGGAACTCTGCACTTTGATATGGCCAAAGGGCTAATCAATAAATAAATTCATTCAATTCATTCATTCACTGCTTTAGGCCTATCCATTCTGTCTCACATAACTGAAAATACAAGTTATTTCCTTTCATCTTGAAATTTGAGTGATGGCCAAATGTCCAGTACTTGCCCCCTATTAATGCCCCCCCCAATAGTGACACGACACCCACCAGATATATCATGGGAGCACCAGTTCCTATTTGTCTGATGAAAAACTGTAGAGATAAAATTTGGGTGCAAGAGGTTTTGCAAATTTTGCTCAATTTGGGTTTACCAGTGTGGAAAATCCCTGATTCTCTACTTCAGTTACTTCACCAGAGGATTTTCCCCTATTCCTTTCTGACTTCATGATTTGGCTGAAGAAATAGGACTTACTACTTCATTTTTTCATGTTTCCAAGTTGGAATTTGAAAGTGAAACCAGAACTGTTGAGGAAGAAAGTTCTGTGAATTCCATTTTATTCTTTGGCTGGCTTAGGTGTTTTGTTTTGTTTTTCTGAGTTAACCATTTATTCATCGAGGTTCAACTGTTTTACCTTAAGTTTTTAATACAGAGTTCTCTCAAGGGAACTAACAATTTGGAACACCATAGAAATGAATGTACATCAACATGTACATACTATTAACCCCTTCTCCAATTCCTTCTCCAAGGAATTTAGAGAAATGTCAGAAAGATTTTAGATTAAGTCAAAGGCCTTGTTATCCCTTTTTAGTACAGTTCACTGGTCTTTTCCTCAGGGAAGGACCACATAACACGGTCCTCCAGCCATCCCCAGCCCTTTTTCCTCCACTACAAGTCAAAAACATGTTTTCTGACTTGGTAGGCTTCTCCCTTTCTCCCTCTTTTTTCCTTTTTAAAAAAAAACAAATTTATTGATGGCCTTGTCTTTAAAAAAAATAATAATCAAAAATTGAAAAGTTAAATTGAACAATCAAATTAAAAAATTAAAAATCAAAGTAAAAATTTAAACATTAAAGGTCAAAATTAAAAATTAAGGTAAAGATTTAAAAATTAAAGGTAAAAATTAAAGTAAAAATTTAAAAATTAAAGTAATACTTTTTTCAAGGATAGATCGGGAAAAATAGTTAAACCTGTCCTTCCTTCCTTCCTTCCTTCCTTCCTTCCTTCCTTCCTTCCTTCCTTCCTCCCTCCCTCCCTCCCTCCCTCCCTCCTAGAAAGAAACTTTCCTTTATCATCCATTATCTAGCAGTTTCCTTTATTGTTCCTCACCTACCCACAGAAATATTTCCAAATTAAAGCAACTTCAGGTAGTTCAGGTAGTTTTGATGGCAATAGAGCCTGCCCATTATGGTTTCAAGTGATGATGGTCATTAAGTGAGATGGTCTTGCTTAACGACCCCACTCCATGCTCTCCCTGATGCAGCCATTAAACGAACCCACAGCTCGTTAAGCAGAGCATGGGATGCCTCAAGAGGGAGGCCCTGGGAGGCCTAGTGCAGGCCTTAATCCTCTATCTTGGGCCTCCCAAGTCCTCCTCCACTCCTTGAGACACCTGGTGCTCCGTTCTGCTTCTCTGGGTTCCTGCAGACTTTGGGCCTGACTGACTCCCCTACTCAGTGTCCATAAGCTTTTGGTCTGCTCCAAATCCAGCCACTTAGCCACCCAAGGGAGTCTGCAGCCAGGCAGTAGAAGCTACTCGGTATCATTATTATGATTATTATTACTCTGTTGTTTTGCATGTACACTGAGAGCTTCTGCATCGGAGACAACTTCTTTGTGTGTCCAATCACACTTGGCAAAATAAATTCTACACTACGCTACTCTACTCTACTCTACTCCACTCCACTCCAGTCCACTCCACTCCACTCCTCTCTTATTCTATTCTATTCTATTCTATTCTATTCTATTCTATTCTATTCTATTCTATTCTATTCTATTCTATTCTATTCTATTCTACTCCATTCCATTCCATTCCATTCCATTCCATTCCATTCCATTCCATTCCATATTCTATATTCTATATTCTATATTCTATATTCTATATTCTATATTCTATATTCTATATTCTATTCTATTCTACCCCACCCTATACTACTACTACTACTCTTATTCTCTGCATCAAATGTTCAAAGTAGGATAATTTGAACCTGGTCATTTGTGCCTCAAGAGGAAATTCTGGATTTATTTGTTTAGTGATCTGTCATTTGGGGTTTTTTGGGCTGTCCACAGTATTCTCCGGGG